TTGGATCTAGACTCCTGAAGGATACTATCCATAATTTGCTTATATTTGATGAATGCTGATTGAGGGCTTTCTATAACTATGTGGAACACCTATCGTAGCCTGTTTGCTAACACTTTTGCTATAATTTTATACAAACTACTCGACAGACTAATGGCCCTAATATCTTTAACTTGTTCAATCATTATTTCTTTGGGAATGAGAGCAATAAAGGTAGAACTCATTGCCACTTTGATCTTTCCTCTATCATGAAATTCCTCCAATAGTGCAATCAAATCATCCTTTAGAAGATAAGGTTTGAAATAATACCAAAGGATAACTATCCTTTATCTCTACCCAGACCGAAGACAACATCCTTTATTTCCTTCATCTCAAATCTTCTTTCCAACTATATAGCAGACTCCTCTACTAACTTGGCAAAAGGCACCGAGTCAAAGGGGAGATTGAACAAGTTTTCAGCATTGAAAGCTGAAGAAAAATGTTCAATAATAGCCTTTTCTACCTCATTCATATCATTAAAGTCAACCCCTTTAAATTTAAGACTTTGAATAGAATTGGATCTCTTCCTATCATTGGCTATAATATGAAAGAATATTATATTCCGATCACCCTCTTTCAACCATTTCTCATGATCTCTGTCTCTAATGAATTTCTTCTATTCTCAGAAGGTCATGTATAATTTTAACCTTGACTTTGACATTGAATGTTCGAAGTGTAGACAAGACCCTGAAATTTTGGCTAAGGGAATTCCTATAAACCTATAACCCTGAACCTTGAGGACCACACTAGCCTAGTGAAACATATTGCATCATACTCAAAGTCCATAATCTACAAATTCAAGCCTATCATCTAAATTTGATCAAGAAAATGTTTGGTCTTATCTAAAACAACACAGAAATCTCAGAAAACTGTAGATCACATGACTTAAATTTCCTCAGAATTGAATCAGATTGCCACCGGATTGAACTAGACAGTCTCTAATTTCATCTAGAGATGAGCCGAGCTCAGTGATGCGGGGTGCCTCACTAGGCCCAGTGGGCTCAACAACATGATACACATCACTAAGAGCTTCGGGTGTCCAAAACTTTCTAGAAATTTTAAGACATGGTTTGGGGCATTCTGTTGGCTTTCTATAACTTTATGGAAGCAATTTTGACTATGGATTTGACCCAATCAAAAGCATTAGAGGCCTAATCTATTGGACTTCGGATTCTAAATTTAAATATAGGAATCCTAATCTCAATTAGGGTAGTACCCAATACGCTAGTCTCCCATACTTCGTATCCTAAAATCATAGAAAATCCCTAAAAAATCTTAGGCAAATCCCTAGGAATTAGACAACAAAAACATAAAAAATCCTAAGAAAATCCTCGGATATTACAATAAATCTCCTTAGGCTAGACAAAAAATAGGTTTTGAAACCCTAATTCCCTATAAACCAAATTCTTCGTATGTTTTAAAACCTAAATTCAAAAACCTAGGAAAACATTACCTAGTACCAATTCAAGCCAATTTTTTGAGGAAAAATAGAAAATGATGATGCGTAAAGCTACCCGTACTCTTGATACAGGCCCCAACTCCGAGTATTTCATGTAAGTTTCTTTTCCTTTTATCTTATAGTTTAACTTTTTGTTAATTCTTAATCCTTTACATTATTCACTTTCCTTCCTATTTTTTAGTTTCTTTATTTTGATTTTGCGCTATTTCAAGCTGGCATTGCCGACCATTCTTCAATAAAGCTGGTTTTCTAAATTGGATTTGTTTTTAAACCATAATAGTTCTACTAAAATTTAGTAGCTTAGTTGAAAGCATGAATCAGAAAGAGTTGCATTCGAAATTCTCCCAGATTTTGGTTGTAAACACGAAGTCACGAATAATTTTGGATTTTGATATCTGTTGTCTTTTTTTCTTTAAGACATTTTTAGGAAAAGGCCGAAATCACTTTCGAAATTGAAATCTTAGGTCACTCTTGACTTCAGATTTTTAATATCCGAAGTTGCTTTGCAATTGAGAGTTTCATTCAACTTCGGATATTCAAAATTTGAAGTCACTAAATTACAATACAACTTCGGATATTCAAAATCTGAAGTCAAGAGTGACTTTGGATTTTCAGTAAAAGAATTCGAGAAATACCTTTTTTTTAAAAAAGATGACTAGTAACTTTGGATTTCCAATCTCCAAAATGAGGGTAAAATTGGAAAAAAAAAGAGAAAGATGGACAAAAGGTATATGCACCTAATACAAAAAAAATTGAGGAGATCTTCTTCTCACAATTCTTAAATGGGATATTTATCCGATACATTAAACTCAATAATTAACATTAAGAATGAGAGTGTATGTTGTACCATATGCCATACACCACTTGTGTATAATGTACTTAATTTAAAATAGGTTTCATGACCTATTTCAACATTTTAAAAAAAATATAGGGTGGCATATTTCAACATTTATAGAAAATATAGGGTGAATATTCTCAAGCTAGATTTCCAAAAAATAATTGAATCAATGGAAATAAAAAGGTAATTATCGTTAATATACCTATGTTTTAATAAAATTAGAAAAAAAATACCCAACTTTTCCAAACCTCGCTTACACCCTTTTTCTTAATTTTTTTTTTTTTTTGATGAATATACCCTTCACGGTAGTCTTTTTACCGTAAATAACATTACGGTAATTTAAATACCGTAATGTATATTACAATAATTTAAATACCGTAATATATAAAAAAGTTTATACGGTAATTTATATGCCGTAATTCTTAGGATATTTAATACGATAATTTAAATACCGTAAAGGACATTAGGATACACCGTAATATATAAATACACTCTTCACACCATTCTTATTACCGTAATTGGTTGAAAAGCTTCAAACCGAAGCTAATATCAAGCCTACCCATCTCCTCATGCGCTAAGCACTGTAACTGGTTTCTCAATGATTTTTTTAGATGATGAGATTTCCCCTCCACAGAGGTTTTTCTCCATGTGAAATCCAAGGGATTTTAATATGAGATCGCTCTCTCTCTCTCTCTCTCTCTAATAAACATATTGAATTTGCCATTTTTGGGTGGCATTCTGAAAATGGTCAATCGCAGGGTTTTGTTGAGTTACAGAGGTGTGAGGGGGAAGAGAGTGGAGCATTGGTTGGGAGAGAGAGAAGGGAGGAGCAGAGGAGAGTGCGATGATTGCGTTGGGCATTTTGAATCAGTTGTAAGATAAATATTTTTTGTATGCAACTAGTGAGAGAAAGATGGATTATCTGCAACTGATGAGTAATTGAGATAAGAGAAAGGGGGGCAAGAGGGAGACAGATGTTTAGAGAGAGACTGTGATTTGAAGAGATGCGTTTTGTTAGATTTATGGAGGAGGGAGAGAGAGATTGCGAAGCCCCCGGTTTTGAAGATGAAGCGAGTCTTCCTATTGTAATTTTCATGGATGAGGCCTATGTGTTTTTCTATCTAGGTGAGTGAAATATTACAGTATATAAATTATCGTATGGACTTTTCTACACATTACGGTATTTAAATTACCATAATGTACATTACGGTATTTAGATTACCGTAATGTACATTACAATATTTAAATTACCGTAATGTTCTTTATAGTAAAAACACTACCGTAAAGGATATTTTCGTCCAAAAAAAATCAATAATTGAGAAAAAACGTGTAGGCGAGGTTTTGAAAAGTTGGAGGTTTTTTTTTCGATTTTATTAAAATATAGGTATATTAGCGATAATTACCCAAATAAAAAAGGTGAAATATCATTAAAATGGTGAAACTGCTTAAGGATACATTGAGGTAGTTAAATCAACTAATTTATCAAAATGGTTGTTTTAATTCTAGGTTTCAAATCATGAGAAGCAGATAAACTTTGACCTATGATACAAGTTAAGAAAATTACAATAATGCCCGCTATTGATTTTGAGTTTCAAACCATATTTTCATTAACAAAGGCACATTCCGAATTTATAGCTTGAAACAAGAAGGGGCATTTATGGTATTTATGTTATGTACTTTGGGCCATTCAATTCGGGTCAAAATTTCCAACATACCTATTTGCTCAATTTTCATACTGAGAACCATGGTATTTTGGGATTTTATAGATATATAATTAATTAAAAAACAGCATTAAAGGGTCACAATTCAAGACATCTCAATTCATATTAGATGGGTAAGGTTTGTATAAGGGGTCAACTTTATATTATTCATTACACGAACATCTCAAAATTATATTGAAAGATGCAGTTTTTGTACTAGAAAAACTTGCAATGGCACGAAAATCTATTGTCATTTCTAATAATAAAATTTAAAGCTAAAAAAATGATGCATATCGAGCAGATCTATATACGATGATTTTTTTAAAAAACTGGATAAGTTTAGATAATATGTTACAAAATGCTAATATTTTCAGGACATAAAAACCTCTATTATATATTTATTTAATTTTTTCCATATCCATACATCTTAAGGTTGAGATGATCAATTTAAAGATTTTTTTAGCTTCACAACAACCTTTTCCAATAGGTTTTTGTGATGTGCTTTTTCAATAATAAAAGTTTGATACTTTAAAAAACACTTTTTACAAATTAAAATATTTACGTTTTAATGTTTATTTTACTGGGGCACTCTCTCAAAAATATATTAAAAATGCCTCTATTACTTATTTTTACATAGTTAAATTGTCTTTGTTCAAAATTAAGACTCTTCATCAAGAACAAATTAAGAATCTTCATCAAGCATAGCCCATTTTAGTAACTTGACCTACCAAAGTTTCCCTGGCCAAAAGACAAGGGTATTTTATTTATCAAGGGTAAATAAAATTATTAAAATACCTTATTCGTCCAAAATGCGGTTACTTTAATTAGGAATATTTGAGGAGGTGCCCACATGAAATAAAACTAAAAACTAGACTCACCATCCCTCAAAGGAGCTACTCGACGAAATGGGAGTTTCTAAAGTAAGAATTTATTGATAATTTGATTTATCTAACCACCACAGCCATATTTTTGAGGTCTTTTGACTGTCGAAATCATATTTTAGCGGTGGGAAACGCTGCAGGCCAGGATCCCAACGTGACGGCTCGAAAACCTGTAAATAGAGGGCCATGGATCTCCCTATTCCCTCTCTTTTATACTCTCTCCTCTTAATGTCTCTCTCTCCCATGGCATTGCATAATCAGGTCTCTTAAGGATTCATAGCAATGGCGACACATCCTTCTCTAGTTCCAGAGATCGGCCCTGATGGTCTTGCAAGAGAGGCTCCTGTTATCGCTTACACTGAAAAGGTATGTCCACCCACCCTTTCTATCTCTCAGTTTCTTGTTTTAATTTCTTCTTCCTCAGATGCTCGTGAATCAACATTCTCCCTCTTTCTGTGTTTTTGTGTGATTACAGATTATTGCAGAGGAGCAACTTCAATTGAGAAAGTATGTATGATAAATTATGCAAATGTATCACGTTCTGAGTCTGGAATTTGCTTCTTAGTTCCGTAATGGATTGTTTTCTCTGTATTCTTGTCCGGTTTTGCAGTGATTTATGCATGAAGTTCAAATTTTGTTTTGTTTGTTTAGATTTCATTTGTGTTAATTTCACATGTGACAGCTCTGAAATGTGTAATTTATCAACGTTTACACTAGAACGTCACAGTAATGTAACCTATATATGAAACCAAGAATGATTAGAGTACGTGCGGATCCAACTCACTGTTCTATGAGGGCAATTTCTTTATTACTAGCATTGATGAATTTGGAGGCTTGTTATTGACCTTTTTTGTGTTTGTTCATAAGTGTAAGTACCAAGGAGATTAATCTTTGTAGAAAACAATATTTGTGATAGGCACACGCAAAATTTGAGCCACCTTCACATTATTTTATTCTGATTTCTATGTTTACCTTTGTCTTTGTAAGTAAAAACATATGTAGTTTTGTTAATAGTCAGCCTATTGCTATATTTTGTTACTTTAGGTAAAAGCATTCGATCTAGACTCTAGAGTCATGTTTCATTCAGTACATATTTTGCTCATGTATATATACTGAATTTGGGTTTAGGCTCTAGTTCAATGCAAAGTTGCGAACATCAATTTCAACTGTTTCTCCATATTTTATCCTTACATTCTATATATGGTATTGCAACTACTACAGGGTATTTTAGCTGCTTTTCTTCTCATCTCCTTACAATCAAGATGCAATATAATGCTTGTAGACAAAATCTCAAACCTAGCAAGTGCCAATTTGCTCAAACACTCTTAGTGGGTTTTGTGCGTTTATTTTAGTACCCCCTAAAGTGAGTATCAAACTGCAAATTGTCTTTCTCAATTGTCTGTTTCCAAATTAGGGCTCTCACACATGCATGTCTGGAGTGTGCCTCAGCCCAAGCATTCTTAGAGAGGTCCATTTGAGAATTGTTAAGGTTTGTCAGTTTGTGTAAACTGTGAAGTTTGAGGTCCTTGGTAATCTGGTTTCTGCATTGCGGTGATTTATAAAAAAAAGGGTTTAGAAGAATTAATGTTGCGGTCTTGGTGCAGCATTTAGTCAGGCTAGTTTTGTGTTTTTTAATATGTCTACAAATGGCAAAGGTAAATCCATTTATAGAAGACAAATCAACTACATGAACAAATCTGTATGTCACTAATATTGGTGCTGTTGTGACTTTTGACTATTTGTTTTGTCATGGTGCCCATGCCTTACACGTCTTACACTGCAACATATTGAGACCATTCTTGATATTAGCTATAATTTAAGTTATTAATATCACGATAAATTTATTTGATCATTTTCAAATTATCGCAAGTCAAAGTTCCTTGGGGTAGTGGTACATTTTATAATTCAACAGCAGACATTTAAAAAAAGAAAAAATAAATGAATAGTATATTACTTTTAAAAAATAAAAGTTCGTTATGTGCAAATTAACTTTGTATGCATAGATGGAATAGGTCTTACGAATTATTGGTAGTGATGGTTAAGACATGTTTGGATTGTGTATAACTCGCGAAAATGGGGCTTTATATGATAGGCCCACACATTTGGATTTCTGGTTTTGCGCAGATATCTAGAACATATTGGCCCTGCTTATATGGTAGTCACTACTTTTAGGTATAAAGGCAAAACTACAGAAAATATGTTTTACCCTTATGTGGAGCAGAGCAGTTTAGCATGCCGAGTTGTACACTACACCCAAACATACCCTTAAGTTACAAGTCTGTGTTTTTCTTTTTTTTTGTATGAATTATGATAGAAGTAAATGATGGGAATGTGGAATTGTGTACTAAAAACAGACAGATTGGTATTGCTGGGAAACTTTTTCCGTGTATGGGAAATTAATTTTAGGATAGGAGTCGCTCAACCAGTTTACAGTAAGTGGTAGGTTCTTGTGGTTCTATTCTGTGTGCTGATAGTTTGACATCCTGCTTAAGGGGACCTCCCATAGTCTCTTGACAACTCCTGGACCAACTTATGAATAACTATTGCCCCCTACTTCGATTGGGAGATCACATTTCCCTGAGATGCATGTTTGGCATTAGTGCCTTGGAAAAATGAGTTTTCAAAGGCATTTCAATTAAAGATACGCTCATATGTGACTTAGTATAAAAGTGAAAGAGAAAACATGTGTTTTCACCAAAAATTTTCTACAAACACAGAAGGGGAAAAAAATCTATAGATGAAAAAACCATAATACCAAACCTTCACATGTATTGCCAAAATTTCACTTTTGAAAAACTATCATAATTAGGGTATTGATTTTACTGGAGTTGAACTGGTCAATTCTGAACTTAAAACTACCAAATATTAAGTTGATAATTTGGTGCACCAGCAGCATATCCAATATTGTTTAGTTGAATTCCAAGATTTGTTTAACATTGTTTACTACAAGAAAGGGGGTAGGGGATCATTACTTACCCAATCCCATAAACATTGTACGTCTTGAGAGGGAGGGAGGGAGGGAGGGAGGGAGGGAGGGAGGGAGGGAGGGAGAGAGAGAGAGAGAGAGAGAGAGAGAGAGAGAGAGAGAGAGAGAGAGA